ATTAAAGGGTACATGCATGCTTAAAAGAAGCGCCGAAGATTTACCTCAGTTAGGCTCTTAATCGGGGTCCACATGAACGGGGCACTGAATTGTACCCTGGTTGTTTTACCAACATGTTGTCGGGGTACCGAAATTTGTCTCTACCTTTCATCTAACCTGGTATATTGATAGGGAACCTAGACGTTTATCCTTAGTAGACACCCGATGGGTTCCAAGTGATCCAAGCACAGGTACTTTTCCCGATCGGGCAACTTAAATCTGCCCCGTTCTTTTGCCCAGCCGGGGTCATGTGGTAAAGGCCGTTACATACACCCCTAACTTAGTCTACAAAATTGGGACATATTTTAGCTTCTCGACTGGGTGTTAGTCTGTAAGTCTAGCCACATTTCTACCAGAGAAAATTATACAAATATCCAGCAATTTGTAATTTAAAACTATTTTATTGTACTATGTTTTGTTGGACTAATAACGTGAACAAAATTGTATTGAAAAAAGATTCAATGATTCTTACAACACTGTCTCATCTCTCTAAGGTGGATCATCATTTGGAAAACAACAATCCCATTATTATTCACTTTTTATAGACAGATAATTGATGGGTGGATATATACCTACGAGATACCTTATTATAGTGTATCAAGTACCTACCATAAAAGTTTATTGACCTCTTCGATCCTCGTTTACCTAACTGCTTTATGGGACTAGTAACAATTTAGTACAAGCACTCAGAACCTTTAATTCGTCGTATAAATGTTATAATAGGTAATCAGAAAAACCATCGGCAAGATTAAAAAAGGCGCTTTGATACGCGCCGCCACCTATGAATATAATTAGCGTGGGTTAATTTCCATGGTGAATATACAATCGGGTGTATGGTATGGTGGTGGATGTGGTGGTCTGAACATATTACAACAACAGCTGGTTTGTATGTATTACAACAACAACAACAACAACAACACTATGAATACTTAACATAAACATGTTTATTACGACGAAAGAAAGGGCTCCGATAATAAATTGAGAAGGTGCTAATGATTTTGTTTTATGTTTTTTTATAACACAGCTTTTAAAAGCTGCCTTCTTTTTTTAATCGAACTTTAAGAGTCATGATGTGCTATATTGTTTTTTTTTGGATGAATTCTTCATCATAAAAGCAACCTATTTTACATGGCTGCAATTATATTCAACAAAACACCCCAATCATTGTATTAATTGCAATAAATAAGCTTTTGAATTCGTTTTAATTTTAAGGTTATTGTATTTCGAAATTAATATTAGAAAACGAATATATATGTGACTCTACTAGCATTAAAATATAGTGTTGTTCGGAAAGTCATTTCGTTTTTTCCCGACAGAGGATTTAATTGTATTCTTTTGCACCCAACTTCACATTTAAGCCGTATAATTTTTATATGCTTTGAGAGCTCATATAGCAAGGCTTGTGTGTGAAAAATTCCAATTAATTCTACGCAGTAGTTTTTGGTTGGTGCCCTTTTAAATATGGAGAGCGATAAGCAGCATTTTCGACATATCTTACTGTTTTACTACAGAAAGGGTAAAAATGCTGTTCAAGCCAGAAAGAAATTGACTGATGTGTATGGAGAAGGTGTGTTGACAGTACGCCAGTGCCAGAACTGGTTCGCTAAATTTCGATCCGGCAATTTTGATGTCGAAGATGCACCACGTTCGGGAAGGCCGGTTGAAGCTGATAAAGACGCGATAAAGGCATTAGTTGATGTGAACCGGCGAATAACAACACGTGAGATCGGATTGAGGTTAAATTTATCAAATTCAACAGTTTATGACCACTTGAAAGGCCTGGGATTATCCTCGAAGCTCGATGTATGGGTTCCCCATGTTCTCACAGAGAGAAATCTGTGTCGCCGCATTGACGTCTGCGATTCGCTTCTCAAACGTCACGAAAATGATCCGTTTTTGAAGCGCATCATCACTGGGGACGAAAAATGGGTTGTATACAACAACGTCAAACGCAAGAGGTCATGGAGCAAAAAAGATGAACCGGCTCAAACCATTTCCAAAGCCGATATTCACCAAAAAAAGGTGATGCTGTCTGTTTGGTGGGATTTTAAAGGAATCGTTTTTTTTGAGCTTTTACCGGATAACACAACGATTAATTCGGAAGTCTACTGTCATCAGCTGGACAAACTGAATGATGCACTTCAACAGAAAAGGTCAGAACTAATCAACAGGAAAGGTGTAGTGTTTCACCAAGACAACGCGAGACCTCACACAAGTTTGGTCACTCGCCAAAAGCTTTTACAGCTTGAATGGGATACAATGCTACACCCACCATATTCTCCAGACCTGGCACCATCGGATTATTATTTGTTCCGGTCACTCCAAAATTTTTTAGACGGTAAAACCTTCACCTCAAATGAGGAGGTCAAAAACCTCCTCGATCAGTTTTTTGCCAGCAAAGACCAAAAATTTTATGAGCGTGGAATTATGCTACTACCAGAAAGATGGCAAAAGGTGTTGGACCAGAACGGTCAATATATAATTTAATAAAGTATTTGTTTATTATACGAAAACTGTCTTTCATTTCCACAAAAAAAAAAAAACGAAATGACTTTCCGAACAACCCTATAGAAGTTCTTGTTGTATCTTGTACTATAGTAACATAACTATTTCTCTTAAAATGCGAATGGCATAAGTATGTGAATTTACTATACGTCTAGGCATGTATATGTCTGTTTTAAAAGTAATAGGTAGGTGCATACATAGGTAGCATGTAGTTGGGATTGCGTGTCAATAAAAATTCAATAAAACGACAAGCGGCAACTGCGTCGTGTGTATTATGGCGCTGACTACGTCGGCGCGCTCGACAATAAATATAATAAAAATTGCATTTAATCTTTCGTTTTCCACGTAAACAGTTGCAAAATTAGGGATTATTTAGTGCCGGCCGTGCTAATTGCGAATAATGTTAATTTATCTAAACGTGGATCTGCTTTATGGCCGGTTCACGCTGCATGCATTCAGAATAACGGCGGCCGTGCAATTTCCAATTTCATTTGTTTAATGACGTTATCTTTATTCGCCGACATAATTTATTTCGCTTCTAATTATGCGCAGCCACTCACTTCGACGCTGATGCTGGCCGCACCGCCGCGCCGCGTATAGTTACTGCTAATTCTAACTCGCAACTGAAAACATTTTCCTCGTATGTCAACTGTGCTGTTAGTTTTTTTCTATGTTGAAAAGTAACTACTCTCGTTATCTGAGAAGCTTCATTACTGTGTCCAAAAATCCAATGTACTATGAGTATGTAGCAGCTATCAGACACCCGATTAGAATTTTGAGGGGACTGCCGATAGGATCTCTATATGTGGGTAGTCACACTACCTTTTGTGGGTCCCATGAGATTTCCCCCCAGGGCAAGCCCCATAAGCCATATAACGTCTTGTCGCATTTGCGCATCATCAGGAATGCCGCATGTGGCCACCGCGGGGAAAAATTATTACTACCCATCATCATCATAAGGTCATCAGTCCTAAGACTGGTTGGACACGTACCTCCATTCTTTCCTATCCTGAAGTAATATTCGCATTTCCCCAAAACTAGAACAACCCACATCCTTAACTATTTGCGAACAGTAATCTAACCTCGGTCTACCTCTACCCCTGCTGACTACTGCTTCTGCCTCTAATATGTCTTTGACTAGACCTTCATGCCTGAGAAGGAGTCCTACCAACCTATCTCGCCTATACATGGGGCATATCGTTTATAAATATAAAAATAAATGCTGAGAGAATCACTTAATATTTAGAAATCGTAAGACAATGAACTTCAAGAATAAAAAACATCGATTAAAAATCCTTAAGCTTTCTAAAAACTTCCATCTACGTTGAATATTGTTTCTGATATTCGGATTTGATTGGCCAATGTCCAAAATTGGGCTCTTCTTCGACTATAGTCCTCAGGTGGATTCGTTTACGTTTTACCAAACGTTTCACCAAATCCTTTGATCGATATCCTAATCAGGGATCGTGATGAGGGTAGAGAAGGGGATAAACCAAATACTGGACCACGGCTACCAAACCCGAATTTCGAACCGTCTTTAAATTAGTCCGATAGTGAAAATCTTCTTTCAACCTTTCTTCCACCTGGATTTTTCCTAAATATAATAGCAATTCTTTTTCTTTTCTTTTGTCGATGCTTATGTCATTATTTGTTGTATGAGTTAATTGTTTTTTCTTTTTGGCACACTTAAATCAACAATTTGTAAATTTTGTAGACGTTTATCATCGTTGCCAATAAATTTAAATACCACTACATCTTGACGAATTCTAGCTAATTATAGTAACATAAGAATGTCATACCAATTTGACTGTATTCCTTATTACATATTAGATTTTATCAACAAATTTGAAAGGTGTTGATATCAGATTAATCTAATTATAAGATGTAGTTCCCTAATAGTAATATTGTCTACCCTCATCGAGGATGTGTCCATTTGTGTGCTAAATTGTTTAATAAATCAAACGTCTTTAGTAACGATCGTTCGCCCAAAACAAAAGAATTCCTTTCGGTATCGTGACGGGTTATGGTCAAATTAATGGATGTCAGCAATAGGGCATTAGGAACACAAAAGTTTATGGTTTTAAGAGCGAAATGGACAGTGCTAAACAGGTTTCAGATGACGGAGTTTGCATACAGGTAGAAAAGCTGAAATTAATAAATTCTTTTTTCGTGGTAAAGTTTCAGCGTTCAAACGGAATTCCTCTAAAAGAGAGCGAATAAGACTAAGGTATAAAATTCCTTGCAACTATACAATATTCAATCCTTATCAAAGAAAATTCAACAAAATATACACTTCTTCAAGGATATGTCTCTAAAACTATTTCGGGCAACCAGAAGATTTAACTGTACCAATATCCTTTTTGGTAGTGTTGCAAGATTCTTGTTACAAAAAAGTTAACTCCTATGCATTGATAAAATCATTGCAATTGTCTTAAGTTATGAGAAAGGTGTCCTACCTGCATTCATGGAAGGTACTCCGAAATGTGAAGGGCTCTGAAACATGTGTCCAGATGTTCCAAAAGGTCCTACCAGACCTTGCGACGGCCAGTTGGCTTGATAGACGGCAGCTGCCAACGCGGAAAACGGAGTAGGCCTTATGGGCCCTTGACTGATAAGGTTTTCCCTTTGAAATTCCGGTCGTTCTCTCGCGTGCGTACCGGGCGATTCGTTGCCCTTCGAAGGACTAGACGACGTATGATCGGTATTAATATCTTCCACGTCCACTATCGAGTCCTCCTGATTCGAATCGTATTCTTCGTCGGAGGATTGATGTTGGGGACTGGATGACGAAAGATTTTGGGTGGATATAGGGGATAGCGGTTTGCATGGCCTGGTATCAGCTAATAAGGATGCAACACTGAAACTAATGTGTCCGTTTTTCGTGCCGGTTTGGACTTGCTGATGGGCACTCTGTTTTTCACTTATGCCTTGCATAGTGTCCGCACTCTTGGTGGTCAAACCGTCCAAGCATTGAATGGTCATACTTTGGGATGTTTCAGTCTGGTTCTTGAGCATGAAGGATCAACAATATCGAACACACTTATCTGCCACGATTTCCGAGTCACTTTTTCTCCAGAATTTTTCCGGATAACATTTTAAATTTTCCGGATAAAGACGCAAACGCACTCAACACCAGATTTTCTTCTTCTTGCAATAGTGATTCGGTCTTATGAAGGACAACCAACTCAAGAGGATATCTAGAGAGAACTGACCAGAAGGATACCGCGGTCGCTTCAAAGTGCATAGGACAGAGGGCGCGGTCTCGACGATAGGCGGCGACTGGCGTAGCGACGCCTTCCGTCGCGAAAGCTCTCTCTATTAAGCTATGCAGCCAATGAATGCGATTTATTCAGAATAGCATCGAGGAAAGCAGTGGAGCTGAATAGAATTTGTGAAGAGATGAAAAAGCGTCGTCGGAAAATTCAGCTGGTCCGTTGGAAGCTTATTTTGTTTGCAGCCCGTTTTACTGTTTCGTTATTATTTCAAGTGCAGAGTGGAGTAGTTGTATGTAACTTTTACGAGCCCCTTAAAAAGGCTTTTCAAATTGTTATAACTTAATTTAGAACCGCTGGAAGGTGTGCTTATCAGACGGGGCACGGGGCAAGGCCGGTTTTAGCCGCTTCAACCGTGGCTGTTCTTGACAGCATAAAATGAAATTGTAATTTCACTCTTTGGAACAACTTCATTGATCGTCGCTCCCGTTTGTTAATTCTCACATAAACTCACTTATTTCTGACAACTTCTTATACAATATCTAAGTTCTTTCTTTGAATTTTACTTAAGCTGGACCAATACTTATTTTAAATATCCAAAGACCATTGGAAATCAACGCATTTCTAGAGTTTTCCTCTGTTTGAAATTCATCTTTTTCGTTTGGTTGTACGTACCTGGTCTGTATACTGCTTATAATTGATATACATATGTATTTACGAATAATATGATACATATTTAAAATTTAAATTTGGAAATGTTAATGCCAGGCGCTTACACCAAAAATGTTTATGGCCCATTAATAATTTATATTGCAATTAATGGGCTTAGAGATATGGTTACATAAAGTAGAAGCGGTATTGCCTAAACGATATGGGTGGAAGATAAATAAAAGTAAAACAAAAATATTGGTAGGATATAGGATAGGGTGGTAGAAGCGGAGGGCGCTATGGGAATCAATAAGAAATAAAATAGGCGAAATTGGTTGGATATGAAGAGCTAGCTAGACATATTAGAAACAGGAGTTGGAGGCAAACCTAGATGAGATTACTGTTCAGAAATAGTTAAGGGTGTGGGATGTTCTAGTTTTAGCGGCTGAAGAGGACCCTAGTTGGTCCTAGAACGGCCTCAGGTAGAGGGGTTTTAGTCGGTAGGTCCGAAGACTTCTTCCTCTGGAATCCGACACTATGCAATCGTACGGACGGGTGGGTGTCTTTTAAAGATTTCCACGAAAACATAAAAAAAAATTTAGTTTTAGGGAAATGCGAAGATTAGCTCAGGAGTTGAAGGTAGTGGTATGTATGTATGTACTTTATTCAGAAAATTTTTAATGGCTGTGGAAGTCAATAAGAAATAGGCGAGATAGGTTGGTAGGACACCTTCTCAGGCATGAAGGTCTAGTCAGAGAGATATTAGAGGCAGAAACGGGAGTTAGGAGGGGTAGAGGTAGACCTAGATTAGATTACCGTTCGCAAATAGTTAAGGATATGGGTTTTCTAGTTTTAGGGAAATGCGAAGATTACCTGAAGATAGGAAAGAGTGGAGATGCGTGTCCAACCAGTCTGACCAGGACTGACGACCTTATAATGATGAAAATCTTTGTACGCCTGTATAATAGCTGCGAATATTGTCTCCGTCAACTTCTGTTTTTTTTTTTGTTAAATTTATTTAGTCACTTAGGTATCTACCCATGTATGTTACATTATAATCGAAGTATTATTAATGCTATAGTATATAGTTAATTTCCATTATAGAATGCAGCTCGTTATTGCCAACGTAACGGCACTACCTAATAGAAACCATTCGCGTAATTGAAAAGAAACCTTTAATTAGTATTAACTAATTGGCTATATGCTATACTATGCGCCGATATTCGCTAAGAGCATAATTCATTAGACTCGATTGGCATAAGATAGTGGTTATGGTCAATACCAATTACGAAGATCGGCTACGTTCTAGTTGTTGTTGTTGTCCTTCTCATACTTTGTATTTCTCTCTGTTTCTCTCTTCGCTGTTTCACAGTCGTTCGTCCTGCCGATGGTCTCATTGTTTGCTTGCTATTATATGTATTGTGAAAGTCATATCGATGATTTTGAACTAAATTAATAACAAGAACAACTAATTGTCGGTATAATGATGTCATTTTGTATCGTCGTCGCCATCATCATCATCATCATCATCGGAACGATAATAGTGGCGCACAATCGGAGCAATTAAAAATCAAAAATAACAAGAGCCAATTAAACTAATTTAACAGGCTTACTTTTCTGCAGCCGATTTTAACGAGCAAAAACAACCGATCTAATTTGCAATGGTAAACGACTCGAACAGAAAAATCTCTAAAGACCTCCGTTAAAGTCCCCTCTCGAATCGAAACGTTGAGCCGCTGTGACGCGCTCTTTTTTCCTCTTTTTTCTTGCTTTTATCTTAATGCATGCACCCGATGTCCTCTTTGTATAATAATAATAATTTTTCATCGAGCTGCATTAAAAAAACAAACATTTTTACATTAACTTTGATATGCAATAGGTAATAATTAGTAATTTAAATCATGGCGGCTTGACACCATTACAATTTAACAATCCTTTAAGCCAGTGGCGGCTCATGGCACCTATTTGTCAAAATTTAATTCCACATTAGCAGCTTTATGTTAGTGAATCTGGTTGCTGAAGGGAACGGTGCGAGGCAGTGCGCAGAGCTGCCTCTTGCGGCCCAGTTCAGTAGTGTGAAAGATACTGCGACACACTCGACACCATTAATTTAAACTTTTCACTGTTTCCTATATTGAAGTTACACTGCAGACACTTTTATAAGTCCATCTTTTATTTTTATGTTTCAGATTCTAAGCCTTAAAACGCTGAGCAGTGGATTTGAGTCTTCCATCATGTTGGGTGGTAAGTGCTTCAAGGATTATTTATAATTTTTTTGTAGTTCTCTTGTGATCCTTCGCTTAAATTGGTAAAATACCTAACGACGTTGCTATTTTAATAATGTTTAATAATAAAAGCAAGGATACAATTTTGGCAAGGAAATTGGGGATTTAATTACATCGTGTTTGGTTGAAACAAAGTATCGGCGTATGACTTAGCATTTTTTCCTGACTCGGTACTAATAGGTTTAATCATATTACCTACCGCTTCATTAAGGAACTTTTTATTAATTATTTATTTATTTAACCAACGGTTTGCCTCGATATATTAGGGCAAAACTGTACAATCCCCACCCCCCGTTATAATTAAAGCAAACAACCTTATAAATTAATTAAATAGATCGTTGTTTGTTTCATATTTCTGGTATTTTACATGAAGAAATATTTGTTTATCTATTGTTTGATATTACAATATATCGTACCAGAAAATGAATCAAAAAGTTACAACTTCTGACTTGATAAAAGCATTATTATAGATTATATTTATATAACACAGGAAATTGTTAATTACACAGGAAATACAAAAGTTGTAATTTCTTAGTGGTAATTAATTAATTGCAAACAAGGTAAACTTCCTATCAGCATTGTAATGTGTTAGATATAAGAAACACGATTACACAGCCATCCGCCGTTTCAATTAAGATCTAATTAGAGCCCGCACAGTTTCTATATATATAATTTAACTGGCAGCTTTCTATGTTTGAATCTAGATAATGCATTTAGGTACAAAGTCTCACAATATATACGTACATACCATAGTACGTGGTACTTACTATCTACTATTTCGCGAAATATTCGGTGTTAACTGAACAATTTTCACACGATCAGTTGTTACAAACAGGACGAATCAAGATATTTTGCATTTGATTTTGATAGATTTGTTTTTCCGGAAGAATAATCCGTTTATTAAATTGTAACTATGTTGGACGGTTTCGTTTCATAAATATGATGAAGGTAATACATCAAATGCACTTAAAATGACCCTGGTTAATGTGACCAATTACGTAGGACGATACGATAAATGTGACGGTCACAGTCGTAATTTGTTAATTGCCCTTCGCATTTCCTCGATTCTTTGACATGAGAAAATATTAAAGAAAATGATGGAATTTTTTTTTTTTTTGTAAATACTTATACGTATAAAATTTAAAACCAAATATAATCTTCTTTGTAATGACTCAGGGACAAAAACCACGACGACAAACACGTTTCAATGATATAAAATTATTATTTTTACATTAACTATTTATCTGTGCGGTCTACCGACAGGTACCAGCTTTGGAATTTGACTTACTACCATGGTTCTGCTTGATTTTTTAAGCCTACCAAAAGAAGAACATCACTTCTTTCGTGTTGTCATTGCTTACCGTACGCTTAATCGTTTGTTATTGTATAAATATATAACATGAACGAAATGTGTTTTTTTCCACCAATATTTATGGTTTTTTATTTAAATAATTAACATTATCTAAATGGACCACCATGTACTTTAGTTAATTCGACTCTGATTTACCTTTGATGTTATTTTAAAGGTAAGCAAGCTGGGTTATAGTTATTTTTAAAATTAAATTCATCGATTTTTCGATGAATATGGTAGGGTCACTTTTTTGGTACCGGCTTAATAGGTCATAACTTACTCGCTCCCTATCTATTCTTCATGAATAATAATCACATATCAAACACATAAACTAGCACCTAAATAACACGCCGGCTTTAGAAGGGTAGCCGTCTAGGTAGTCGTCCAGTTAATAGTTCTCTTTCGTTTCCGCTGTTGTGGCCCTTTTTTCCCTCGACGCCATCATCGTTCGATCAATTTGGTGACCCTCGCGTCATGTCGCGTCGCTCTGCACCGCGTTGCGTTTGTATCTACCAGTAATTTTACCCTGCCGTTCACTGTTTTGCTGGTTGGTAGTTGTCTACACCACGTACAGAAACAGCGGCCGATAACATCGGCGCTGCTGGTCCCCCTTAATTATTAAATATCCAGGTTAAGCTGCCTGAAAACACTCGTAATTGGCTCTTTAATTAAGGCCCTTGCAATCGAGATGTATTAATTAGGACCGCCG